TGAAAAACTGTCCAAATTAACAACTTATGTCTTTGAAAGTGGAAAGGTCAATGTTCAGGGGTTAAACTCAAGTGTTCTGGGCAACAGTACACATACATAATGATCATTTCCTGCCATCACTTAGACTTCCTGTTGCGCACTTGCACTATTTCTCTTCTCTCCTTCAGAAAGCTTTTGAAAGCGCCGGCCTCTTTGCTTTCTTCTATGACTGTTGGGGAACAAGTGACATCGTAAACACAGGTGTTACATGGTGTGATAGCGATTATGGTTCTTTAAGGGCTATTTGAAGTATCCTCACCTGTGTGATCGATATCATCGGTATCGCTGTCTATGTCTTCCTCGGCTTCATCAGGGTTGCCGCGGGTAAAGATGAGGTCACTGGGCCCACCAAGATCTGGGGCATCTGAAGAATAAAATAACCAGTTGTTCCAGTGTGTACAAGGGCACATACATACAGTACTTTTGGAGACAATGCTAATGAAGGATCTCCATCAAAGACAAGCTGATTGAGTATCCTCACCTGTGTTATCGATATCATCGGTATCGCTGTCTATGTCTTCCTCGGCTTCATCAGGGTTGCCCCGGGTAAAGATGAGGTCACTGGGCCCACCAAGATCTGGGGCATCTGAAGAATAAAATAACCAGTTGTTCCAGTGTGTACAAGGGCACATACATACAGTACTTTTGGAGACAATGCTAATGAAGGATCTCCATCAAAGACAAGCTGATTGCAGAAAATGATATACATCTGTTCTAAAAAGCAATTATTGTAAAATATACACTAGGGCTGTCAAAAAAGAATTCGAAGAATACATGATGCTGTTTTGTTTATAGTTGTTTAAGCAATTTAATGAATTATAATTGGTTTATAAACATTATTTTAAACATTATGAAATAATGTTGAAATTATGAAATTAATGTAAATAAAAAACATTTTTTCACAGATAGTCGTTATCTTATGCTCGATGCGCCCTCTTGTGGCCTCAGGAGAGAAGCCAAAAGCTTTTCTTTACCCTAACTGAGATTATGCATTTTAAATTCGAATATAATTCGAATTTGGATAATATTTAAGCACAAAATTCGAATTTAGTTTTTCAGCCATTTTGACAGCCCTAATATACACTATTGTTCAAAAGTTTTGGGGCCAGTAAGTTTTTTTTTTCTGCAAGGATGCATTTAATTGATCAAAAGTGACATTAAATACATTTATAGCATAATGTTACACAATTTCAAATAAATGCTGTTCTTTTGAACTTTCTATTCATCAAAGAATCCTGAATAAAATGTATTACAAAAATATTAAGCAGCACAACCTTTTTCAACATTGATAATAATATGCAATGTTTCTTGAGCAGCATCAAAAAGAAAAGTTATTTTAAACTGTAATATTTCACATTACTGTTTTTACAGTATTTTTGATCAAATGAATGCAGCCTTGGTAAGCAGAAGAAACAAAAAAATCTTACCAACCCTAAACTATTGAGCAGTAGTGGTACCATACATCTTACATCACTCGCTTTTCGAAACAAATTTATAAGATGTTTGAAAGTCGTTTTTGTTTTCATTTAAAGATCAGATTTTACATTATACATGAAGAATTCAAAGTTGATTAATGACTTTGAAATATCTTTTTGTTTTTTTTTGAATGAACAGAGACGTGACCGTTCTGAATGAATGTACCAGTAGGAACTGCAGTTTCCATGGGAACTGCTCCCATGTCCTTCCGAAGGCGTTCCAACTGCTCCTGTTGTTTCTGACTCTGAGCTTCAGCCTGAGTATGAGATACATGCATTAATAACAGTTAGGCTTGACCTTTTCTCATGAAACATGACATTTTTATTTGCCTTTCAAATGAAAAATAATAAAAGCGCCAACAAAAAATATATAGTTTAATAAGTGATAAGGGATATTTATGGAATGGCCAGTTGATTTATGACTAGTACATCAGCCCACATCAATGATTACTCACCAACTCTCTGTGCAGACGTTCATATTCAGGACGATACTCTCTGCAAGACAGTAATACTCATCAAATGTTTGCAGAAAAGCATTAATTTATCTTTAAACATATATGCATATTGCCCTTAACAACACATACATCACTATCATTCAAATTAAAATGAAACTGCTCCTATTAGCATTATAATAAACTAAGCTAGAAGTGCTTTTAAAATGTGTCTTTTGACATTCCATCAAATCCAGCTAGTTTAAAAAAACCATATACAGTTGTAAAATTAATTCAATATTCTAAAACAGTTCATTCAAAATCAATTTTACACCAATAAAAAAAACCCAAGATTTTATTTTCATTTTTTATTCTTTCTGAAGTGCAGCTTATTGGTCCATGCTGAGTTTTTTCAGTGTAGACAGCAGTGCTATTTTAGTAATATTGATATACTATTATAGTGTTTACTAACATTTTGAATTAGCTTTTATTTTTATATTTTTCAATTTAGTCATTTTGTTATGCGTTTTGTCAGTTTTATAATTTTTTTTTTTTTATATATATATATATTTCTGTTTAGTAACTGTAGTGCCTCAAATGAATTAAACATATTTTAGTTAGTTGCCAAGACAACATTTCAAATTTCAAAGTTTTTCATGTAATATTTATATTTTATTTGAGCTTCATTTCAATTAATGAAAACGATTTAAATAGATTTAAGCGATTTTTAGTAGTAGTCAACAATAACAACACTGGTAGACAGCCTAAAGCTATTGAGGTGCTATAGTCTGAGTTTGAATTTCTTTATTACAGTGTACGTACGTTTCATACTCTTTAGCAGCATCTGCAACCTGTACAAACAGTTCATCAAGCCCAGAACCCGTGACTGCAGACACTCCGACAACCTACAGGACACAAAGAGAGTCTGTAACGCTACTGCAAAGGCACTTGACTGAGAGAAAAAACAACCTGTCACACAAGACTGATAAAAACTGAGCCCAACAATACATTTCAGACACTTATTGGTGGTGCTAGCCGTGAACAAACCTGCTGAACAAACATGTAACTCTAAGTATTATATGTTTTCTAAGCAATTAGATTTACATATCTAGAATATCATGAAGACTTAAAGCTGGGCTCTTCAGCTTGGGCCATTAAGCAACTATCTAGCAACCATCTAGAACATAATGCAGTCAGAGCTGGGAAGTAACTGATTACATGTAATCTGGATTATGTAATCAGATTCCAAAAATTAAGTACTTGTAATTAGAGTAAATTACATTTTAAAATACTCGTAATCAGACTACAGTAACTTTTTTTATTGATTACATATTATTCATACAATAGCAATAAATTATTCATAATTTATTGATTCTCCCTAATTCCTTTTTTCATCTTTGAAATGTTCCTTTCTAAAATATCCTATCGCTAATATACATTCAGAAAGTCCAGTTTTGTGGAAGACACAGCATTTGACAACTGGATTTATAAAAATCATTTTAGTTTTAAGAAGCGTTTTCAACATTGCATCAGCTACTAATGCACACTAACACATTTATTTTTATTTATTTATCACTCAGTTGGTTATTTAATTACTATGTCTTTGGAAGGCTTTTGTCTTTCAAACACATTAAAATGCACTAATTCACATTATTTCTTATTTACTCGTAATGCAGACATTCCCAAACTTTTTGTCATTTGAACCTCTTTCACCTTATATATTTACTTGAAGCAGCCCTGAGATTTTAAAATAAATATTTTAATAATTAAGTATCATATTTGCATGTTCACGGTTCTCTGACGTTGGTTAATGGTCACATGCCATGCAGGTAAACAAATAAAATATATAATCTTTTTTAGTAAGTGTTTTATTTTGATTGTTATTTTAAAATGATTTAATGTAATTTTACATTTTTATGATTTAATTAATTGTTAACTTTTCATTAAATTCATGAATCCCCTGCAGTTCCTTTACGAACCCCAGTTTGGGAAACCTTGATGCAATATAATGTTTAATGCACTTCATGTTGATAATTACAATTAATGGAATATATTTTCTTACTCTCTGTATTTTTTACATCATTATGGTACAAGATTATCCTATTTCAGGGTTTCTGCAGACATGAACAAGTTAAATTTAAGACTTTTTAAGACCTTTTTTAATACCACCTTATATGAAATTTAAGACCTAAACCTGTAACGGAAATACACATTTTATTACATACATACATGTAATATTTAATGTGTTTAAATTAAAAAGAAAACAAAATGTCATTGCTGTAATAAATTATATTTATTACTACGATATACAGTGAACTTTTCATGTCAGCAGACAATATTCCATACAAAATATCCCTGCAAAATAACTGCATCACTGAGATTTTTGGTGGAGTAAACTATTTATTCTGAAGCAATATTTCCATCAGTGTTTTATCAGCTTTTACATACTTAAATCTGCATATTTACCTTTACAAAGGCATATTTTTTAACCTTTTTAGATGTATGCATCATCTTTCATGTCAATTTATTACAATTTATCAATAAATTCAATATACACTATAGGGCTGCTACCAGTCAGATTAAATAATTTACACTGCAAATAACAATAATTACAACTGCAATAAATAATGTTATGAGAT